GATACTAAGTTATTGTTTTATTTAAATAATAATTTAAAATCGAGTTTCAGAATGAAAACCGCATATTGATTTTCATTTTCGAAGCTTATAAATTGATTTCACAAGAACTTTAAAATGATTGCACGTTATTATTTTTTAAAGGCAAATTACATAGGCAACGTAAATACGAATATGTATGTACTCAATAACATTACTGTAGGGATGGCCAACGGAACAATTTCGAACATCGGTATCTTTCAAATTCTTCTAATATTGTACAATGAACGATATTGAGATATATCGAACTAATAAATCGTTTCTAAATTATTTTTCCATACTTCGAACATGTTTACGAAAATTAATTTGTCAAATTCACGTGTAGCCAATGATCTTTTACGTAAGTACTTGTCTTGGTTTTTTATTTCGTCTCTGGTGTCTTGAAATAAACACGTATACGCAATATACATTGAATTTTTTTTAAAAAAAATGTATAGGTATAATTATTATTAATTAATTAGCTACTTCTAAAAGTTCGACATTTCAATTTTTGAAAGTTTAAAACTGTTATCTATTGGTGACAATTCAGAAAAATAAGAAAAGAAGAAAAAAAGTTTAAGAACACGTGCAGCATTGAATCAACTCGATTAAATTTTTCACATTTGTAGTTGATCTAACGCCAATGAAGAAATTGGATGAATTGTTTACACAGTTTCTGGTTTTTAATTACGTTGTTCTCTGAAAAATTCGAATGTCGACATTTGTGCTCGACCTATTGTGCGTTACTGTCAATAGTGTAATATATTTCTAACTTATTATTTCAGTATATACTACGAATAAATTTTGCCGATTACGCCTTATACTCGTATTATCGTATAGTTTGATGTGGTTTGTATGATACATTTATATAAAATCTGATAGTCCATATACTTAATCGAAAAAGTACTCTTTTATCTTATCACGGTCATAATATATTAGGAATAAAGTGAATATTAACATTTCGTTCAGAGAATAATAACACAATTTTCAAATATTAAAAATAATATTTTTAAAAAATGTTTAGAACTTGTACTACATAACGGTGCACTAGATAAATAACTGTTATTATATTATTACTTACCATGAGTTTTTTGTAACAGTTTTATTAATTATATATTATTGTACAGAATTTCTACATTATGTTCTGTTTTGTGAAGTTAGTTATAAACTTATATATATTGTATTTGCATTAGTTTGTATTAAGTGAAATAAAACACGCACATCGCTTTTCTTACACACCGTGTTTCACATACAGCAGAGCCGTTCTCAGATTTTAATTTATTGAAAAACTTGTTTTATATCTTGCGAAAGTAATAAATTATAATGATACCTACTGTATAATTTCAACTATAATATACTTTTAAATTATTATAAATTAAATATTTTAATACTTGTACATAAAATGGAAATATTAAAAACTATGTTTCCTTTCAACCTTCATATTTTTTATTAGTGATTGTGATTATAATTATTATCAAATTGCATTTTCTTGGCCCGAGGTATTTTCCTCCACTGTCTACTTTCTTCCAGTTGCCGGAAACAATAATATATATACTACTCAACTATCCATTTTAAAATAAAATACTTACTATTTTTGATATAATAATTTATAGACACACATGAGTACCTACTTGTATTTAATTTTCATAAAAAAATCCAATTATTATTTATTATTATTATATTTGATTTTTATAAATGAATTTAGCATTGGATGTATGTAATTTATTTTTATAAATAAAGATATTTACTTAGTTGATATTATTTAACGTAATAGAGTTAAGTGTGAAAAATTTAAGCTAATGTAATATACTTAGCACGCCGAGAGAGCGCGAGTCGCAAATTAAAATATTTGAACCTTACTATTATAGCAGTAACAATCCACCACTAGCAATTATTATCATTCATATAGTAGTTTTATTTTCAAAATGTTAGTCTGCAGTTAAATTGCCATTGAAAAATATATTTAGAGGAAATTATATTTATTTGTGGAGCAAAAAGGAATTAAAGGAATTTTAATTTTTTTTTTTTTTTTAAGAAAAATAGTGAACGAAAATGGTATCTCAGTTTTGGAGGAAAATAGTCCCACGCATTTTCTTCATGATATTATAACTATCTAACTAGTTATGTTTACAGGTTTCTTGATTTATTTTCCTTTTATGAATCATTGAGTTAATTTTTGTCCTTTTACCTGTTAAAATAAAATCATTTAAAAGGATTTTATTTTTAAAAACCGTCAAAGTTTTCATAGTATTTTTTGCAAAATTATTTCAAGGTTGGTATGTATTAAAAACAAAATTATAGAATATAAATTATTAATTTGCTCTGACACATGATAAAACCGAGTTTTGTTGGTAAGAATAATAAACCGTTTTTTTCACACATTCGTCTTTGAATAAGTATGTTGTTACTATATTGTATAAATGAACTAAACAACAGATGTCGTATTTAAATATAATATCTTTCATATTCATTTTCAGTAAGAACAAATGATAATTAGGTCTCTGAGTGCAGCATGTGTTTTAAGGTCTTTTTTTGAGCTCTCAGGGTTACAAATCTTATTTTTGAGAATACAAAAATTCCATACACTATGGGAATATATATCTACTTAAACTAGTAAAATCTATCCGTATAAATATATGGGAGTAATTACAATAGTACTTTTTTTTCTTTACAACAATTAAAATATATTTTTTTATTTGTATGGATGAAACACAGTTGTTGATAACTATTTTAATGCTATTAAACTGCTACTAATCCTTCAGATACAATACATATTTTACAGTATGTAATGATCATTGTGGTAAAATCAAGTTCTGCATATATTTCATTTTAAATTTAAAAATATTACAATTTATTTTTTGTTTTAACTAAATGTTTCATGATCAAGCTCAACTTAACCAACTATTTTACCGATGGTCTTTATTAATTTATTTAATTTTCAACTATTAACAATGTCTCACAATGATTCGGATACGCCCGTGCAATTCAGAATTCATAATCGTAAATATTAATTGTTGAATATTGATTTATTTATAAATGAACAATGTGTAGCACAATTTTGTATAATAATTGAGTGGTTAAAAATATTTAATATTCAAAAATATAACGAACAATTGTTTTATACATTTATAATAACTAGGATGTAAAAACAAAAAATAATAAATTATTTACTTTTTAAAAATATTGTACTCGATAATTGTAAGCCTTATTAGCAAGTATTTATTCGGCAATGGGTTTGTTCTGGATAATTATTTTGTCATTCATCTTTTGTATATTCCTTTTATTAGAAAAAATAGGCAATTTAACTACACGTATGTAGTATATGTTCTATATTTAATTTAATAACGGTAATATGTTTTCGTTGGAAGTTAGGGTGTACATACAAAATCATTAAAATGTAATTAAGATCGTTTAATTTCATTAACTAATTATATAACACAAATCATTACCAATATAGTTTTAAATAATACAACTTATAAGTAAGAATCATATTGGAACATTGTTGAGAAATAATAATTATTTATTATATTCCGGGACATATTTTGTACGGAAACAAGAATATTTAATAAGTGAATGCATCAAATTTAATCATTTTAAAGTATTTTTTATAAACAGTACATTTGTAGGTATATTTCTAGAATAGGAAGTATTTAACTTATTAGAAAACCAATTTTGTAGTAAAATGAAACTCAAAAAGGTGATGGTAAGAATTATACAGCAATGACATTATTGAGATTTATAAAAAAAGATAACATCCAACTATTGATGAATATATAATGGTAGTAATATTTGAACAAAGTATAAACGTAAAATATATTCAATGTTATAATTTATATTTTTATTATATAATACTTTCTTTTATGGTGTGGAAGGGGAAGATTCTTATATCTTATGAACTATATAATACCAGCAGATATGCTATATATCTGTTACGGGTAATATGAAATACTGGATAATGTACACATTACTTGCGCAATTTTAACCACAAATATAAATAAATAATTACAAAATTAAAATTATCTTGAAAAGTACAAAAATTTGACTGTTTAAACGTAAATATCAATAACTGTTCCTATTGAGGATAATTAAGACTGTGAGTTATATCATAAATTATTGTCATAGTTAGGACATAAATAAAAACATAAAATTTCACAATTTTTATAAATATATATAAATATATATATATATATTAAAATAACACTGGATAATATATTATATAGATATTATATATTACTACATACTATTTATATGCGGTTTTATAAATAATCAGCATCAGATACAAATTATTACATTTACATGTTTAAGTCTTAAAATGTATAAATAAATTAAAACAACAATGTATATAATATTTATTTTATTATTCCACTATAGTTAATATTAAAAGCATGAATGTAAAGGAATATAATTTATTATACATTAACAATTAAATAATAAAAAATTACCTATAATAGATAATTTATTTAATCATAGGTATTTATGAATTAGGTATACTTTATTTTAGACAATAATAAGGAATACGGCAATTGTAATAATGTTAATTAATGTTTAAATAAAGATGACCATTAAACATATAATATATATATACATCTACTAATATTCAAGTTACATTATTTACATGATTTCATGGGGAAATCTTAATATTGCTACATATGTACATCTAGTTACATTATCAAACCATTAATATTTATTAACAATATGCAATCATTGATCATGCGTTATTTAACAAAATCCATGATTTTTACGTTACTAAATGATAATGCAACATTACACTAAACATAATTTATCACAACTTCGATTTTTAAAATGTATACAGGACCAAAAAGATATGTATGTAATTGAAAACGATTTTAAACGATGTAACAATAGGAGTTTACTTTTAATTTCGGTATCAACACCGGAATTTCTCAGTGTAACAACTACATTATTACAAATTAAAATTATAAACTATAAATTAGAAATATATCTAATGTAATACGTAATGGATATTTTCACTAAGGACTAGGATAAAAAAATATTGTACGTCTATTCGAAGGATAGCAACAATTATAATATGGAAACGCGTCTGACAAGGCGTTTCGAGTATAAATAATTAGTGTGTATTTCAAATGCTAGTCGACTATCGATGAATGCACTCCGATTTTCGGACGATCGGACAACACTGACTGTACAGAGATCCCTATAAATAAATATTAACCCGTGCTAAAAACGCAGCAACGGGTGTCGCGTCCATTAGGCGATTCACTTCGCGCCACTCCCGGTGTCCAGCGGCTGCAGCATCGGCGCGGGCACGAGATTCTGCAGCGACAAGTACCTGGACCGGTCGGCCACCTCGACGTTGGTGATGTGCTCGAAGCAGCACGGTTGCGAGATGTGCGACTTGTCCGGGAGCCGGCGGACCGGAGCCGGCCGGTGCTTCAATTTTCGGCTCTGTTTCGACCGGTTGCCGGGGCCGGACAATCGAATGTTCTCCGGGTCGGACGTGAGCCGATCGATGTGCGACCACAGCTGATGGGCGGCCTCGGCGCAGTCGAAACTCAACCCGATCAGCTGGGTGTGGTCCGTTGATAAGCACATTGTGTGAAACCCTTGGCTGGACACCTTGTACGAGGTCAGGTTGTCGATAGTGTCCTGCCACAACGCGAAGCACGTGCCGCGTTCCACGAGCAGTATCTGGATACGCGGCTTGTCCCTGGACCGCGTCTCGCCGCTATCGTACAGCACCACCGGGATCCCGGTGAACTTCAAGTCCCAACTGCCTTCCAGTGACGAGTTGTGCAAGTACAAGTTGGCCATCGAACCGCACACGTACACCTGTAACGTAATTGCACCGTGTACATTAAACCGCACAATACGATATGTTAACCGGTGCCCCGGTGGACTTGGTATTCTCTTGTGTACAACTGTACTACGGTCGGAGGAAGTCCCTTCGAAAAAGTAAATTAATATTATATATTTGCAGTGTAAAATATATTGCACATGATATGTTATTACGTTTACATAGTCACTTACTCAAAGGGAGGCGTTTAGGGTTTCAAACCCCCCGAAATTCAGGAAAATTATTAAATATGTTTTTATAGTAGAATATGTATAATTTAAACCCACTTCGAAATATTTTTTTTTGTGTTAGCGCCTGTGTTTACATGAAAAAAAAAGTTTAAGGATTTCCCCATGAGACGTACCAATCAATTTTTTTGTGTTTTACAACCTAAATCGAACATTATATTCGCGCTCGTGCGTTCGCCGTAAAGATATAGTCACGAAACACTATACCCAAGTGTAACGTTTTCAATTACTAAACACATCGTTAGAAATTATTTAGCTGTATTGCTATACATTATTTCGTGTTCTTTCGAGCATTTCAGGATCCTCTCTCTTTTCTTACATTTTTTAGTAATTTATCGACGGTACGTTTATTTAGATTTAATTAATGGGTACTATATTTGCATTTAGGTTAATGAAATTACAATCTCAACATTTATTCTCAATAGCCTATTATACTATTTACTATTTGGAGCAGCAATATGTTAGAATAATGTAGTTATTGTTACAATATGTAGAAGTGTCAATAAATGTGGTAAATTCTGTTTCAACGATACTATTTTACTGAAAATGTCTCATTTAATTTTTTTTATTATACAATTTACACTTATTTTACATAAAATTTAGTTCGTATTTTAAATTTTTTTTTTATCAAATTCAATTTAATGATTTCAGCTTTTGTATATATTATAGATACGTCACAAAGTAATAGAGACCATAGTATAATAGTATCGTAATGTAAATTATATAACTTAAAAATTAAATTTAAATTTAAAACTCAAGTGTCTAAATTATAAAAGAACTATAGACTTATATTTATATATGTGTTTTAAATGTATTTCAATAAATTTTGATTTATAATAAATATATTTGTTTCTCGCATTTTAGGTAGATTCTACAATGAAAGTATAATAAAAAACGATTATAATTATGAAGTCATAGGATACATAGAATATAACAGTGAAACATTTACGATAGTCATAAGAAAAATTCTTATTTAAACCTGAATAGTATATTATTGTTGTATCTGTTGACTTCGATGGCGCTGCTACATACTAATTAGCTATTTTCGCTATTGTATACGCAGTGCTATATCATTAAGTATGGATTTGTAGCGGATAATCATTTAACTATCGATTTAATATGACTAAGTACATATGACATACCATTAATAAAATATTTATTAATATTTTAAATGTGCATGGTAGTTATTGATTGATTATGCAGAACGTATTGAGCATAACAATTATCTGCATAATGTTACTGCATTAAATGTATTTATATTTTTCACATTTTATTTTATTGCATGTCAAACATATCATTATAATGATTAATCCTGTGCATAAACATTACGTTTTTAATTAATAACTGTTGACTTTATTTATTTTTTGATTTTTTTTTATAACATATTTATTTTGAAGTACGCGCAATGAATAATGAGTTTAATAAGCACAAGTTATCGTATTTATAAACTATTATAGTATGCGAGGCAATTGAGTTTGAGTAAGAAGTCACATACCAACAAGTGATAACATTTAAATGTCATTAATTTTAGTTTAATCTGTTTAAATATATTATATCATATACATTTACATGTATTTAATACATTTTAATCCGATATGTTCCTACAAAGGATAGTTAAGTATTTTACATAATATAATCTATAGCATACACATATTATAAATTGAACAAAACTGTACAAAATTTTGTTTGACAAGTTTTATGGACAGTTTTTAATTAATATTAGGTAGTAAAATATACTTAACGCATCCGGCTAGCTAAGTCAAACACAATTTTATTTTATATTTGACCTAACACAGTTATTCATCTAGTTGTGATAACTAACATTTAAAAAATTACTTTTTAATGAATCTATAAACCATTTGGTGGTGTAAAGGTCAAAAATTAAAATGTATATTTGATTACTGTAAGACGAATTTTTAAGTGTGTAAATGCATTGATAATTAATCTGTACTTAGATATAAAAAAATAACAATAAAAAACCCGTTATACTTGTTAAAAAATTATAGATAATTATTATTTTAAAACATATTACGTTTTGTAGAAGAAATCATTTTAATATATTACTTACAGATTTTACATTTAATGAATGTCGATTGTTCAAACTCGTAATAATTAACAATAGTCAATGTTTAATACCCATTTGGCCCATTCGTATATTATCCTAAGAATTTTAAATGTAATTAAGCACCTGTGTTTTCAAGCCTTTGTAACACGATTGCACTTGAAGTTGATCTTTGTCCGAAAGCTCGGCACTTTCTCCGCTGCTGGCAGTACTGCTACTGCTACTGCTACTGCTACTGCTGCTGATGCCCATGTGCGGAGATTCCATGTTTTCCGAGAAATTTCCTCTGAGTGTCTGTTGATTTGGTACTACGTTGATTAGAGAACAAGCCGCGTAGCCCGAAGACATGGAATTAGGAGACACTGCAACACCTGGCGACATATCGATTCTGAAAAATAAAAACCTTTAGTAATGAAAAAAAAAAAATCATAAAAAGACAAATATTAAATTTCCGTTTTGAGCGGCTATATAAATATCAAGAAAATCGTTTAATGAATTCTATTGATTAAAACCTTTATAGTTTATACATTACATGTTCTAATAATGCGTAGACGTTTAAAAATAGTAGAAAGTCCTTTGTTATTAATATTGTTTTTTTTTTCTGGTTAATTATTTTATTGATACGTTTTATAAAACAATATTTGTTTTTTACAGTCGACTGTTACGATATCATTAGTGTTATTAAATAATATTTATACATACTATATACCTCTGTACGGTTTTAATGAATCAAGGTGTAATATATAGCTCAATAAAATTGCATTTTTCAATTAGTTAGTAATGCTGAGATGTGAAAAAACTCGGTTCGATTAAGACGGCTTCTAAAGTTTATACTATTCATCTCGTATATAAATAAACTGGTCGCAAGAATGCAGTTATTCGGGTAGATAAAACTATATAAAAAAGAACATTGCATCCGATTATCAAATGTACTACTACATTATTTATACGTATACTAACGGTACGATGAGTTTATTATTATTATACGACAGAACGGAATAATAATTATTGTGATAAGAATCTAGCGGATATCTTATACAAATAACGGCGGTAAGCACCGTGACGCAAGAAGCATTTGGTGTCATAGCAGAGCATGTATCGCATAAAATGTATGAACAATGAAGACGATAGTGACAACGACTTAATAGATATTACCGTTCATAACGTGTAATATTGTGTTTCAGTAATGTGACAGTCAAAATGATACGGAATATAATATTTATTTTTTATCTGTAAAGCGATGACAATATTGAGCCGAAAAAAAAAATAATTTTCTGTCGACGAGATAAGGGCTAGAAAACATTATTCGATAAGTATCCCAATATAAATATATATATATATATAATCATGGAATCCAAAATTGCCTAAGATTATTAGGGTTGAAAACGTTTTCTTGCGATGGAATTTATAGTCACGCGTTCCAATTCTAGATGGAATTATTGTCAACCTCTTCAAAGTGTATAAATCGCAACGAAAAGATGACTCCTGATGTGCTCTGAATTTTTATTGTTGGACTCGGTGACAACGAAGACAAAACAAAAATATTATTGAATCTGTATGCACATTCAAGTAAAACCGACAAAAATGTGGCCAATGAGGTTAGATTACTCCAAAAACATAATACAGGACAACTGATCCCTAATCGGCTAATCGGGTTGTGACACCCTCAGTTGGATCCCTACACCAACCCTGTCCACGTGCCTACGTGTACATGTATATATTTGTAAATATTGCTTTTGAACTTACATGGCCCTTGATTACAACTGAAGTGTTTGACGTCGTACGATTAGAATCATGATCGAACGGAACTTATACGTCTCAACGGTGCACGGTTAAAAACAATAATAATTGCGACAAAGAAATTTACTAAGTTCGTACGGCGTATTCTATGATGTACCGACAGTGCCAGTTTCCGTCACAAAACGTGCATGATCATTGTCTACGATCGCAGTAAAATACTACAATAATTATAAGTACGTAATATGATTATTATATACGCGTTCATTTTGAACACTGACGATCGTTTACAAATAATTCTAGATATTTCTTTTTCGTAATAAAAGCTTCATGTAGTGTTCGTGATGAACTGAGATTCGTAGAAATGGTAATCAATCTCATTGTTCCATCAATCAAATACGTCCTGTCTACAAAGTCGGAAGTATTATGTGCAAGATAAAAATGTCTATCAACGACAAGAATAAGGCGCACAACTATCTTAAGCTTAAACTCTATCTTACAGTCGTTTTTATTGTGGTACGGTTTAATTTATATTATTGTTTATACCATGATGTAAGGCTCGTACACGTTTTACAACTACGATAGTTAATGTCTATATAAACCATTAAACAGTACAATTAGAATTATTTTCATGTCATAACAATAATTATTTTAGTATCAAATGATCCATTTCGAATCATTGTCCATTAGCACACATAATAATAACATGCTCGTGATCGCGATAAACCTGACCGCACGAGATAAATTTCACTATAATCTCTCGAGTCGGTATAGTGTTTATAATACTGTACTTGTTGCGAAGCTGTAAAACGCGTTTGTAGGTGCCTACGAATTAAAATAAGCCTAAAAATTCTTATAAACGTATAAATTATCGAATGGAAACAAAACGTATGAACTAAGAAATACAAAGAGGTGAAATCTAAAACGTTTTCACTGACCGTATGATATTATGCGGTGATAACCGCCAACCATGATCTGCCGCACACAGCTTTCAACCACCTAATTGTTATCGTTGCGCTATTAGAACAGCAAACACGATAATCAATAAAGGAACTTACTTAAACGTCAATTAACGGTGGTTTTCACGTTTATTTACGAAGAGCGCCGTTGACAAATCTGAAACTAGGCCGATTTTCGTTGGTTTTTATCGTTGTTGCATGAATTATTTATGGCCATCGACAGTAATAATTATGAAATAATTTTGAAAACAGTTCGGACAAGTTTTAGTTCGGCGGTTCGTCGTATAATAGTCTGCATACGCGTTTCACGTTTTTAACATTATTTTTTCATCTGTTGGTGATCCCCCCCTCCCCAGCAAGAAGCTAGAAAATATTTGATTTTCCGTTCTATACCAATCGTAGTCATCTTGTAAATAGATAATATTCGTAAATGCTTGTTTGAAATACTTAATATAATTCGTAAATACTATTTATTAGCCGTAAGGTAGGTATACTGCAGTATTGATTTTGCTTGCATCAGATAGGAAAATATTAACATTAAAACTCATAAATATATTTATCTTATAACGAAGTCACTCCAAACTGTTTAATTTCGTATTACACAAAGTGTACCATACTTCACACAACTTTGTTCCCTGTTCCTACCCCCATCCCGTTTCTTGGTTTTCCCGATAGTTCAATTGTGAGTGTTTAAATGAGAAATGTTTCAGTATCTATGTAATTAAGCACTTCATGCAAAACCAATGATTCGATCGCGATATCTTCGATAAAATATATGTAAGTAAATAAATATAGAAACTAGTTTTATCGGGTCCATCTGCAAAAGGAAACGTTCCGGAAACCTACAACGAACGATAGTATTAATATTCAATCATTGCATTTGATTTTAGTTCACAGAATGATCAATTCATGTGCGCGGGATGCATTTTCAATTCGGTACGCAAATATCAACCCATCGTGGCGGATCTCGTAGCTTCCAATAATAATAATACCAAATGGTAATTGACCGTGGAGCAAAAATACTTTTAGCAGACCGTGGAAAGGACGCGAAAAAATTTTACGTGACCAATGGGAGAGACGATAAAAATATTGTTCATATAATATATCATATAATAGCATCGGTGCAAGTGTGTCACTCGGACAAGATGCAGGAAAAAAAACGAAAGAAAGAAAGAAAGAAATCTCCGATTGTTAGCGTTAATAATAGCATGTATTATATTGAAATTAAGTCAAACGGGTCTCGTTAGTGACGGATTTTTTTCACCATATAATAAATACTTGAATTATGTATAATATACGATAAAGTTATTTGGAAGAAAATGTCAAATTATTATTTGTACGGCCCGGAGGGGTAGTGTTAATAATAATTATACATGGCGTCAGAAATTCAATATGCCAAACTTGATACTAGGATATTGTTATTTTTTATAAGTGTGTACATAATATATAACTAAATATATAATTGATAAAATTGCACCAATACAACGTTATACAAACACGAACAGGATGTTGATTTTATTTTATTTAATATAATTTTGTTTGCATTATTAATAATTAAGGTACGTATAGCGAAACAGCAGTCAATAAAAGTAACTATTTATGTAGGTATTCGTCAATAAGAAAATTCGATAAGCTAATGGCATTGAAAAAAGTAATTTTTAATAACCAGGAATTGAAATAACTTCAAATCAATAGTCAGTCTATAAAATATTTATATATTTAATAATTTAGAATTTAGTGTAACAAATACGAATAATAGTTTTACATAATATTGTCATGATTAAATAATCTAAAAAATGCATTAACTGAATTCTTCATCTAGTTTCCATCATACTGTTTTCACCAAATTCTTATTTAGATTGAATAGTTTTGAAATATATAGTATTTTGTACAAGGAATATATCATTAATATTTTACTATTAGCTAAAATGTCAAGTTTCACTTATAATAATCATATTACACAAAATAGACACACTTACATACCAATGATTAATGAATAAATCATATGAAATGTAATCATGTGTGGTCTGACAATACACTTTCTTCGGGCAAATAAACTATTGGAAATTGTTTTAATATATTTTATGGAAAATATGCATTCGAAAATGATTTCTATTTGACAAGTTTATATAGAAAAGTTACCATCGATTCATGAGTTACGAGATAGGACCCCGAGGTTAGATAATTTTTAGTACAGATATGACTGTAACTGGTTAGGAAAAAAAAGAGCTCTCGAGTGTATTTTTTTTAAGTATTTTAGCTCTTAGCAATTCGGAAACACACGCAAACTGAGTAAGGTAAATATGGCTTTAAAATGTTTCAACCGCCGGGTGGACGACTGGTTTGGAACATATCCCACGTCGTATATGTTCAAGAAAAATAAAATAAAAAACGATCAAACAGGTTTTGCGGAGTCCATGGTCCAAGGCCATGATGTGTTTTTTTTTCGAAAATCAATTTTTGTTTCTTGTCGTCCACTTTCCACATGTATATATATTGGGTTGCGGAGGAAGAGAAGTTGCATCAATTGCATCTAAAAGCCCGGATATTTGCAGTGCGAAGAGACCCTGAAAAAATGTCTACACAGGGAAAGACGGTAGATTAAAAATTAGTGTACGAAATTCATTCAATTTTGATATGCAAATTGCGGAAAATTATTTATTTGTTATTCCTCGTTTAAACGTCTGTACGG